TTCCTCACCCAGGGATCAAACCCAGGCCTCCTGTGTTGCAGGCAGATTCTTTACTGTCTGATCACCAGGAAAGCCCAGGAAATAGGAAAAACTGGTACCAGCTCTTGATTTCTAATACCAGATTCCAGTAAAAGAAAGGATGCATAGAGAAATGCCTTAGCCTAGGAGAGTGTGGAAAATGTACAAGATAAGCCTAGGGCTTCTTATAATGCCAAAAAGTAAGAAATTGCTTAAAAAAATTTTTTTAAACCCACATTGATGGGGAGTATATCAGTGGGACAGAGGAGCAGGAAAATAAAGTAGTATTGGATTATAACCAAAAATATAAAATAAATATCCACGAGTCCAGACTGAGATAGATAAATGATTGAATAAATAAGTAGGAAAATAGAATAGACAAATTACCCATGCAGAAGAATTGCCAAATAATTTATGTAGACACCTCACCCTCAACAGGTGGAGTGTAACTTCTCTCTGTTAATTTTAGGGCCTCCCATAAAGGGTGCAATATGAAAGGGGAGGAAAAGAGAAAGTTGACGGCGGGGAGATCTGAGAAACACGCCTCAGCCAGCTGGTCAAGGTCAGCGTCAGCAGTGATAGGTCAAGTCGCGGGGATGCACTCTTGATGTAACGTGATGAGACAGGCAGTTTGCATCTGTGGCCTTCCTCCCCCAAACCCGTAAACTCACTGTGTCAGGCAAGTTTCTATAGGACATGCAGCAAAATAACTGACCAGCATTCCTCAAAACGGATCATCAAAAATAAAGACACTCTAATGTTAGCTATCTCAATTTTTTTTAAATACAAATTAAAAAACAACAACAGCAACAAGAAAAGCCTGAGAATGTCATAGCTGTCCCAGCTTTCCCAATACCACTTGCTGAGAAACTTTTTCCCACTGTGTATTCTTGCCTTCTTTGTCAAAGAGTAATTAACCGTAGGTGTGTGGGTTTAGTTCTGGGCTCTCTATCGTCATCCATTGATCCGTATGTCTGTTTTTGTGCTGATGTCATGCTGTTTTGATCACTGTAGCTTTGTAGTATTGTCTGAAGTCTGAGAGGATTATGCTTTCTGCTTTGCTCATTTTCTTCAAGATTACTTTGGCAGTTCTGGGTCTTTCATGACTTCATATGAATTTTCTTTAGTTTTGTTTATTCATGTCGGCGCTGCGGGCTTGCAGTTGCCGTGTGCGGACTTGCTCTAGTTGTGACAAGTGGGGGCTGCTCTCCAGTTGCAGCAGCGGGCTTCTCGTTGCCGCGGCCCTCTTGTGCAGCAGGAATTCTGGGGTGTGTGGGCTTCAGCAGTTGTGGCTTGTGTGCGTAGTTGCCCCAAGGTATGTGGGAATCTTCCGGGACCAGAACTCAAACCGGTGTCATTTCCATTGGCAGGCAGATGCTTAACCCCTGGACCACCGGGAAAGCCCCATATGAATTTTAGGATTATTTGTTCTAGTTCTGTGAAAAATATCATGAGTAATTTGATAAGGGTTGCATTATATCTGTATATGGCTTTGGGTAGGATGGCCTTTTAACAATATTAATTCTTCTAATCCAATAGCATGGGATATTTTTCCATTTGAATCATCTTCAGTTTCCTTTGTTAATGTTTTATAGTTTCCAGTGTAGAAGTCTTTCACCTCCTTGAGGGTTTATTCCTAAACATTTTATTTTGAGGAGTTCAATTTTAAAAAGTATTGTTTTTCTTTTAACATGCCCTGTCTGATATTTCATTGTTGGTATAAAGAAGTGCATCTGATTTCTGTATATTAATTTTGTATCCTGTTGCCTTGCTGAATATCAGTTCCAGTAGTTTTTGTATGGAGTCTTTAGGCTTTTCTACACATCATGTCATATGTGATGGGCTTTAAACAGGGAAAAAGCCTGACCAAGTCTAACAGGCAAGAAGCAAATATGGGCCTTCTCTCTCCCAAAGCCGTGCTCCCACCTGAGGACCCCCAAAAGCCAGTGCACCCTCCTCTGCCTCTGCCGTGTGGAGTACCACTGAAGGGTGAGGGGACCCCTTCTGATGACCCTGGAAAAAGGAACGGCTTCATTTCATATGACCTACTTACAGACCCTGGTGACTGTAGACCATCAATATAAATTCCTAGTTTCTATATTTATTTTAGTTGGTGACTAGTAATGTTTGAACAGCATAGAGATTTATGGTCAGAAAATATTAGCTCCTAAACACTGCAACCCTGCCCCCCCAGTCACCTCTTTAAATTCAGATTGTTTCCCCCATTCCATCATTTGTGATCAGATTTGTACAGGTCGGCCCTAGACTGGGGATTTATTTCTGTCCATAAACAAAACCCTGATATTAGTCACAAACTATTTCTGATTCTCAGTTAACATTCTTAAACATCTGTGTCCCAGGGGACTCTTTTCCCTGTCATATGAAGATGATGTTTCAAGATTTACGTCTCCCCAAAGAAGCAAGTGGATCATAAAACCTAATGTATTCCGTGGTTTGGAATGATAATTTTGCAAAGAGGTGAGGGAATATTTCACTGTGGATCATTACAACATCCATGTAAGTTGTTAATATACTACTTACTACTTCCCTTTAAATATTCATCCAGCTCGTGTTTATGAACTGCTCCTGTGTCCCCAGGTTGGGCTGCGAGGGGGCCATGTAATGGTGGTGGGGCAACACTGGGGACACCTCCCTGACTTGGGTGGGAGGATTGTGGGTGGGGACAGAAGAGAAGCTGGCAGAGGCAAAATGACCAGTTGTGGGGAGCAGGCTGGAGACCGCGGGGGGAGAGAGCTTTGGCAAGGGGAGCGGGCCACATCAGAGTCCAGGCAGGACCCTGTGCATGGACACAAGGATGTCTGTCCCTGGAGACTCGGGCAGAGGCACACGCAGAGCCCAAACGCAGAGAGGATGAGGAAGGGGGTAAGAAAGGTGTATGATACAGGGAACCTACCAGGACAGAGAAGGGTTCAAGTTAACCAGTGTTTTCTGAGCATCTCTGCCTTCATCCTCTGCTTGAGTTGTTTCCAGTCTAGTAACAGAGCAGAGAGGCACATGGCAAAGTGTCTTTCCAGGGGGATCATAATACGGAAACCTGGAGGCAAAGATAAAGACACTTTGAACTCTGTCCCCCAAGAGTAATCTCAGGAAGCTTCTCAAAACGATGAGATGGGATTGTACTGTGATAAGCAGCAGTCTTCCAAAACAGGATTCAAATGCCAGCACCATCCCTTCCGACTCGGTGACTTTGAGGTGGGCTCACTTCTCAGTGCCTCAGTTTTCCTATCTGCAGGAAGTGGACAATAACATGGCCCACCTCTTAAGATGGCTGTGAGGATGCAGGAAGTGGAATACGTCCAGCACTCAGCAGAGAGCCTGAAATGCAGGAAGCACAGTGGAAGTTGACCTTTGCCATTTTTCTATGTGGCAGCAACCTAAGGACAGTGGCGCTGGGCTCACCTGGAGGCAGAGAGGGGCCGCCTGCATCTCTCAGCAGGAGACGGATGGTCCAGTCTCCATCCTGGAACTGGGCTCACCTGGAGGCAGAGAGGGGCCGCCTGCATCTCTCAGCAGGAGACGGGTGGTCCAGTCTCCATCCTGGAAGGAGGGGCCGCCTGCATCTCTCAGCAGGAGATGGGTGGTCCAGTCTCCATCCTGGAACTGGGCTCACCTGGAGGCAGAGAGGGGCCGCCTGCATCTCTCAGCAGGAGACGGATGGTCAGTCTCCATCCTGGAACTGGGGTCACCTGGAGGCAGAGAGGGGCCGCCTGCATCTCAGCAGGAGACGGGTGGTCCAGTCTCCATCCTGGAACTGAGAGGGGCCGCCTGCATCTCTCAGCAGGAGACGGATGGTCAGTCTCCATCCTGGAACTGGGCTCACCTGGAGGCAGAGAGGGGCCGCCTGCATCTCTCAGCAGGAGACGGATGGTCAGTCTCCATCCTGGAACTGGGGTCACCTGGAGGCAGAGAGGGGCCGCCTGCATCTCAGCAGGAGACGGGTGGTCCAGTCTCCATCCTGGAACTGAGAGGGGCCGCCTGCATCTCTCAGCAGGAGACGGATGGTCAGTCTCCATCCTGGAACTGGGGTCACCTGGAGGCAGAGAGGGGCCGCCTGCATCTCTCAGCAGGAGACGGGTGGCCAGTCTTCGTCCTGGAACTGGGCTCACCTGGAGGCAGAGAGGGGCCGCCTGCATCTCTCAGCAGGAGACGGATGGTCAGTCTTCATCGTGGAAGGAGGGGCCGCCTGCATCTCTCAGCAGGAGACGGGTGGTCCAGTCTCCATCCTGGAACTGGGCTCACCTGGAGGCAGAGAGGGGCCGCCTGCATCTCTCAGCAGGAGACGGGTGGCCAGTCTTCATCCTGGAACTGGGCTCACCTGGAGGCAGAGAGGGGCCGCCTGCATCTCTCAGCAGGAGATGGGTGGCCAGTCTTCATCCTGGAACTGAGCCCACCTGGAGGCAGAGAGGGGCCGCCTGCATCTCTCAGCAGGAGACGAGTGGTCCAGTCTTCATCCTGGAACTGGGCTCACCTGGAGGCAGAGAGGGGCCGCCTGCATCTCAGCAGGAGACGGGTGGCCAGTCTCCATCCTGGAACTGGGCTCACCTGGAGGCAGAGAGGGGCCGCCTGCATCTCTCAGCAGGAGACGGGTGGTCAGTCTCCATCCTGGAACTGGGCTCACCTGGAGGCAGAGAGGGGCCGCCTGCATCTCTCAGCAGGAGACGGATGGCCAGTCTTCATCCTGGAATGGAGCCTAGAGAAGGTTAACGCTGGTGTCACACTAGGGAAGCGGGAAGCCGCTTCCTGCCTCCTGCCCGCTATACGGATTGTGTCCTAATGTAAGCACAGCAGCAGAGGAAGGCTTGTTTGAAACTGGGAAGTGATGTGCCTTGTATAGAGCAAAGAGGATGGCGAGGGTAGAAATGCAGATCTTGGGGGTGGGGGGAGGTAATCCTAGTTCCAAGTTGAAGAGATTTTAGATGGATTCTCCTTTCCTACATTCCATAATCTTCAGTTGGCTTTACCTTTGCACTGGAATTTAAAAATCAGTGGAAGCACTAGAAGACGAGACTGAAGAAGCACGGGCCACACCATGTAACGGTGTTCCGTGAGCCCCTGGAGCCACAAGAAGACCAGGCGTCAATGTGGGGCTGACAGAGCCTCCGTCTGTTGAAAACAAGGATACCAGAGACTGGGCACGGGGCAGCCATGGCAGCAGCTTGCAGGGGGGGCTCGGCGTCCAGGCCTGGAGCATCAGAAAGGCAGGTTAGCCCGTCGTCTAGAGGGACGCAGGGTACCAGCACCTACCCTCTGATGACAGCGGCAGGAAGGACCCCGAGTGCACATGGAAACGTTCTCCAGCCTCCGCCCAGCTGGGACAGTTCGGGGCACTCCTGAGGTCAGGACCAATCTGAGGGCAAAGTGTCTGCTTGCTTGTCTGTTTTCCTAATGGAATCACAATCGGAATTTTATAGAGTCCGTATGGATTCTATGGGTATTTATTGAGACAGAATTGCGGGGAGATAATGGTTGGACTAATCAACGAGCCCAATCTGCCAGTTCCACAGATGAGAAGATCACGGCCCAGAAGAAGGGAGGAAGAGTGCCAAGGTTCCCAGTGCATCAGGGGCAACTCTTCAGCCCTCCCCTCCAGCTCCCAGTAGGAGCAGCCTTTCTCTCCCTGCGACCTCCCTGCGATGTCCTAACAACTCGGGGGGCGCTGCAGGCTGGGAGTAGCTGGAGGGGCAGAGAGATCCTACTGCCCACTGTGTGGGTGGCGAGACTCGCCTTAAGTCACAGAGCGAGTCAGTGTGGGACAGCATCCGTGAGCTGTGACCACGCCGCCCCCGGGCGCCCCGCCCCCCTCGCCCTTCTTGTTTCAGATGTAGGGACACCACTGTGCCACTAACCAGAGTGGCCAGCTTCCAGGACACAGAGGCTGCTCCCTGCGAGCGCAGAGCAAGCAGCAGGCTCCTCGGGCTCCGCCTCCCTCTCCGCGGACGGGAAGGACGCTGGCAACAAACACAGCAGCTTTGATCAAAATCTCTTGTCTTTACACGTCATATTGCTCAGAGCTCCTTCACTTCCTCTGTCTCGTTGGAACGTTGTGAGCGCTGGGGAAGATAGGTGGACAAGCAGTGTGATCCCCACTTTGCAGATGAGGCAACTAAGGCTGGGACTTAACGCGGCCTCTGAGCATCAGAGCTGGGGTCTGAGCCCAGCTTCTCTTGTGTTCTCCCAAGTCAAGCGTCTCTGAACCTCAGGAACCCTTCTTAAACTAGACTGCCCCCTGAGATTGGGACGCCACCGCCGTGAAGGTTTTTAGCAGCTCCGGGGCGGAGGAAACCCCTACCCCCAGCCCGGGTCCCCCAGGCGGACGCTGCCGCTCCCCGCACAGGAGCATCTGATGCGTGGGCGGCCGTCGCCCTCTGGTGGCCGACGGCAGAGCGCCGCGTAGACCCAGCGAACAAAGGCCCCCCAGCCCCCGGCGCCCGTCACTGGCCCGGTGGGAGCGGCAGCGGCGGTTTTTTATTCTGGGGGCCCTGGTCTTCACTGTCTCCGCTTGGCCGACTCGCGAAGTGCACATCATCCCGTGAAGCGGCGGCTGAGAGGCTGGGGCGCTGAGGTGGAAGTGTGACTCCTGCCCGCCGCTTTGGCAGGCTTTCGGCCGAGAGGCCAGCGGCCAGCGGGTTTGCCGCGGTGCTCACGTGGCCAGCTCGTGCGTGTCGATTCCCGCTCAGAAGCGCCCCAGCTCGGCCCTGGGCCGGCCCCGGGACCCAGCTCCTGCGGGAAACCGCGGCGCTGCCTCGCGCTCGCCGAACGTGGGGACGCCTGCACGTCTCCGGTCCCCCGCCGCCGCGGGTCAGAGCCACGGCCGCCTGAGTCTGAGACGTTGCTCTGACGCCCCCCAGCCCGGCACGACCTGTGTGTTCCACGTGGGGCGCGCCTCAGACGGCCCGTCAGGGAAGGTGGTGGCCGCGGCACTCAGGCCGCAGGGGCGTCGGCGAGCGCAGGTGAAGAGGAGAGCCCGTCCGGCTGCTAGGACACGCTCAGGCAAGGGAGCACCTCCCGCATTATGAGGTAGACGCTGCTGCTTACGGGCTTGCCTCCGCCTGGAACGGCGTGCCTCGGAGTTGGAGCTGAGCTGCCTTTTGTATAAAAATTGATCTTTTGATGCACACATTTGGTATAACCTTCTTCACCCTGTGGTCAGTATGCCCTGATGTGAGAGGAAAGGCTGAGGAGGCCTTCAGGGCATTTGCTAGTCTAATATTGATCAATGGGGTTCTTTCCTACATAGATTTGCATTACATGCATGGGTTTGGGTACCCTACAACTGAAATACTGGGTGTGATCCAACCTATAACTGTAGAAAGCAGAGGCCAGTGGCAGATATGGAGGCCATACATCTACTTACAGCCCTGAAGACCTTCGTGCCAACCCAGACCATTTAATATTTTCATTAATGACCTGAAGGATGGAATCGAGACCCAGCTAATCAGATCTCTGCATGATACAAAGCTGGAAGGGATCTTAGCTACTTTGGAGGACAAGATTAAAATACAATCCAAGCTTGACGAATTGCAGAGAAGAACCTAAATCAATAAAGAGACAGGCAATAAAGATAGATGCAAGTTGCTCTGAAGAGAGCTGAGAAAATTAGCCAGATACCAAATGGTGATGAGAGAAATGAGTTTTGAGGGGGCCAGGAGGAGCTACCTAGATGTAAATTTAAGTCATACTCTTTGTAAAGTGAGGGCTCAGCTCTGTCATCTGGTAGATCTCAAACTTCAGTGACTATAGGAATTATCCAGGAAGCTTGGGAAAATGCAGGTTTCCAGGCCAAAGCCTTGAGATTGTGATTCAGTGGGTCTGAAATGGCGTTAAGCTGGTTCTGGGCTAAGTGGTCCATGGGTGGCACTTTAAGAAAGCCAGAGCCCAGCAGATAAGGCAGCAGCCTCTACCCACACCACTATTTCCCCAGTATTTAATCTGGATGCATCCCATGGGACCCTCTGCAAGAAGTGACTTCCATGGTCAAACAAATTTGGAGATACTCTCTTTTAGGAAGAAAAGCAAAAAATCACAAGCTCAGTGAGCATGTTCATGATTCCAACATATTCTGCAGTGAAATTCACAGCTTCACGTAGGTTAATCCAGAGCTTCCCAAATGTTTTGACCCAGGAGCCATTTCTTCATGTGTTAATGACTTCCAGTAGCATCTTGTGACTCACACTTGAGATACTGTGATGCCACTCAAGCCCTGCTCCGTCAGATTCTCCAGGATCTCTCAGTCCTGTCACTGCCCTGTGTTAAAACCACCTAAGGGATGAGAACCTGAAATCCTTTTAAATTATGCTCTATCTCCTCTGCTTCCCTAGGCCTGAACTTTCCTCTTACCTTTTAAGAAGATGGGAGCAGATTAGTTAGAGCTTCGAGTCTGGAGCCTTCTCTTGCCTGGTGACAGTGCTCCATGTGTCCTGGGTCACGGGGGGAGGAAGAGCGCCTCGCCGTCTTTGTTCGCTGTCTTCCTTGAGCTTGTATCACAGATTGCTACTTGGCTGGCCATCGTCTGTTCTCTCCTCTCCCCTTGTAACAGAATCCCCCTGATTGTTGAATGCAGCCACACGCCACACTACAAAGCTGGTGTCTCAGCCTCCTTTCCTGAAGAAAGGAATGTCAGTCCACTTCAGTGTTCTTGGAGAATTCTCCAGTGCCTGGAGAATTCCATGGACAGAGGAGCCTGGTGGGCTAAAGTCCATGAGGTTGCAAAGAGTCGGGCATGACTGGGCGACCGCCCCACACGCAGCCTCCTTTGCAGATGGGGCGGTCCATCAGAAGTGTGCAGAAGTCACTGGGCAAGAGGCGGGTTCTGGGGAGCTGCTCTATGAAGGGTACCCACAAACTTGGAAGGCGCCCTTTGTGCTCTTCCCTGCTCCCTTCTTCTTCCCAGTAGGAGCACTGGCAGCCGCCACGGGCCATGAGGGGAACGTGCAGAGGGAAGCCACTTAGGACAGATGGCAGGGCAGAAGGCAGAAGGTTAAGATGGCATGGTAAGGCCGCGGAGCGGCCCTGCGCTGCCCACGAGGAAAAGTGCACCCCTGTTTCACTGAAGCCGTTGTTTCCCAGGTCCCTGTTACCAGCTCTTAAATGCAGCTTCAGATTCACACAGAGCACAAAGCTTTTTGGCTTTGCTGATAGCTCAGTTGGTAAAGAATCTGCCTGCAGTGCAGGAGACCCGGGTTTGATCCCCGGCTCAGGAAGATCTCCTGGAGAAGGAAATAGCAACCTACTCCAGTATTCTTGTCTGGAAAGTCCTATGGATAGAGGAGCCTGCTGGGCCACAGTCCACGGGGTCACAGGAATCGGACACGACTGAGCAGACGTGTCCGCCACCAGGCAGCCCAGCCACGCCGGCTCCCGTGCTGACTGCGGCCCCGCAGCCCTGCCGCACCTCCGGCAGCTCCGATGTGCACGTTCCTCCTGCGTCTCTGGCCCAGGCAGTCATACTCCTCGAGCCTGGCACTGCTTCCTGCCCAGCCATGCCTGTGCCTTCGACTGCCTCTCTCTTTTCTCCTTTATTGGAATTAACTATGGAATGAAATTAACCCAGAATGACAGTTTTGAGAGCTTCACATCCCTCCAGAATGAACTTCTCTGTTGAAATATTTGTTATGTAGAACAGTCTTTTCCCTAAAGTTGTATAACCTACATTCCTGTCTGTAACTAGTTAGCAACTCCTGAGAAGTGGGGACTTCACTGACTGGGGGCAGGAGGAGAAGGGGATGACAGAGGATGAGACAGCCAGATGGCATCACCGACTCCATGGACGTGGGTTTGGGTGGACTCCAGGAGTTGGTGATGGACAGGGAGGCCCGGCGTGCTGTGGTTCATGGGGTTGCAAAGAGTCAGACATGGCTGAGCAACTGAACTGAACTGAACAGGACAAGAAGATATCGCTGCAGCTCCCTTCTATTTCTGACCTCGATGCCTCAAAGCAACACAAAAGTCTGGACTTGTCCTCTCCTGTTCTTTGGGAAGCCCATCTGCATGGAGCTTTTATCCAAGTTCAGATCAAGTGAGGCTGTTACAGTTCTGGGAGCTTTGTGTGGGAGAAGGAACTAGCGTCCACTGAATGCCTGTGGGCTGACTGGAGGGTACTCATCACTTTTCCCCTTCAGTCCAACCTCCTCTCGTCCTCTTCCAGATCCCTGAACTAGTCTCACTGACTTTGCTACCTGCTCTCCGCAGATATTCATGTTGTGAACCCAAATGTACATAACGTGAACCCTTGCAAAGCGTGTTTTCACTCAGTAATACAAGTGGCATGTACGTGTCTTAAAACAGGCAGAAACCCCATATAATGCATTCTATATCCACAGTGCCTTCTGGTGATTGCATGGATGAATGAACAAACAAATGAATGCTGAGTAAATACTTAGCAAATTAAATACTTATAAGCATGTGCAAACCATGTTACTCCCATGGTGAAGAAGTTTAAGGTGAAACTTGCAAGGTTTCACTGGACGATAGTCCGACTCTTAGTCCGATTATTAGATACTCAAAACAAAAACTACCCCTGAGCTAGTCTTTCCTGAATAGCTTGCAGATGATATCCTCTCCTTGTAAATGAATCTACTCCCTCTAAACATTTCATGAAGCGGAAGAGGTGGACGTCTCTGACTGTTAGGTCATTTTTTCAGTATGCTCACCAGGTTGCTTATCGGATGTCTTGTGCTTCATCTTCAGCATCCTTTGGCCAAATAAACCAGTCAGTGCTCAATTCTCCAATTGACTGGATAGCTCAGGGAACAAACCCTCAAATCTGATTACAGGAAAATTCATTACTTTAAGTCCTCCCTCAGGGTTCGGAGCTCATAAAAGAAACCTCCAGAGGCTCCAGCTCAGGGGAAGAAAGGCTCTGGGCTGTGAATCTACAGATCGGCAATAATTAACCTGAACTAATTATGGTCAAGCCCCAGGTCAGTCTTCCCAGATCAAGACTGCCTCCTGACAAGTGGGCTTTCAGAGGAAGAACTTTTCACTCAAACACAAAAGGAACATTCAGCAGATTTTAATATACAAGGGCAAGACCCAAATGGCCTCCTCTACCAGGCAAAGAACAGCCAGGTCAGAGGTTCACTGGCAGGGAACACAGAGCCCCTAAAAAGCAAATACACAAGGATGCTGTCCCTGGCCCTGCATCTGATCAGTTCAGTTCAGTCGCTCAGTCGTGCCTGACTCTTTGTGACCCCATGGACTGAAACATGCCAGGCTTCCCTGTCCATCACCAACTCCCAAAGCTTACTCAAATTCATGTCCATCGGGTCGGTGATGCCATCCAACCATCTCATCCTCTGTCACCCCCTTCTCCTCCTGCCTTCAATCTTTCCCAGCATCAAG